TTTTTTTTTTTTTTTAATATCCTAATTCCCATGGAGTTGTCATTTTCTTTTAATTTTTCCCAAATCCTGTTTATATCGGGTAGATTGAAACAAAATCTGTCAAAATTTAACATAGGACCAGGCCATAAAAATACATGTCTCAAGGACATCTTTCTTTTGACACTGCTATACTCCATTGGTAATTTTTATGTTTTTAAAAAATCTATTTTAAGAACTTATAATAAAACCATAATGTATGAAACTGAAGTTATACATTTGTTTTTTTTCTTCCAGAATTGGCAGTAAAAATGCTGAACAATATTCAATTCTTTTATTTACAAGATTATAAAAGAACAATGCAAGAAGAATAATCTTTTTTTTTTTTTTTTTTTTTTTTTAAATAATTTAGAATTTAATTTGTGAACTATAACAAATTATATATTATAAAATGATAAAAATACTATTTATGAATAATTTTATTTTTACAAGGTTATAAATTGTGTGTGTGGGGAGGGACTATAATGAAATACTTATTTACCATATAAAGAAAACAAGTTTTTATTCATAAAATTATAAAAGTGTCTGAAGAATAAAACAAAATTTAAATAAACACATAATGATGAATAAGTGTAATTATAAATTCAGAAAAAAAAACAAAACATTTTTTGGATATTTCTTTCATTTTACTTGTGCCACAAGAATTCACTAAAAATAGGTTGAGTGTCTCTTCCTATAAACAAAACATTCTTTTAAGTTTAGATTTTAGGTTTAAGTTTAGACCACAAATACTGAATATTTTCAGTATGTTTCTCTAGATTTATTGGGTGAATAAAGTTTTCTTTATATATAATTACAGAATATCTGTAATTTTAATGGAGATACAACCGTATGATGGCCAACCAGCTGAATTATGAGTTCCTGGTAAAAAATAATTTTAAATTCTAAAAATTGTTTTAATTTTAAGTAAATTTGGCTTCTTAAAAATAGCTTCTTAAAAACAATAAAAATTACCAAACCAAAGCAATACAAAGTAATATCAGTGTCAATGGAATAATGAAAAATGTATTTTTTTTTTTTTTTTTTTTTTTTTTTTAGCCTGGTCCTAACTTTGCTTAAATTCCATTGTCTGAAATTGTTTTTTTTAAAGGCAGAAAACCTAAAAAAATATTTTTCTATGATTAGTGTTTAATGATACTCTTTCTATAAATTTTCAAAAGATTTGTTAAATGAAATGTAATTTATTTGAAATGAATATTACTGGTGGTTGTTTTGAAAATACTAAATATTTTCTCATTTCATATTAAACATCTTGATTTCCTGAAGAAATCTGTGATTTTAATAAAGTCCTTGTTGAAGAATTTTGGTTCTATTAAAAAAAACAAAAAAGTTTAATATTGGGAAATATTGAAGTATTTTTATGCATGATTGTTCATTTTGATTTCATTTTATTTTGATTTTTGAATTTTTTTTTTTTTTTTTTTCACTGAAACCTTGTCATTGTACTAGTTCTTAACATATTTAATGAATTTGTTTCATTAACTGTTTAAAGTAGAGTGTACTAAAGTTACAAATCAAGGCTGCCCACACAGCATACAGGAAGCTATTCAAAAGAATCTTTGATAATCATGGGCTAATACAAACCACCAAGCTCATGGTCTACCAAGCTGTTGTAATCTTGATTCTCCTGTACACCTGTGAGACCTGGGTACTCTACTGAAGAGACATCCACAAACTTGAAAGATTCTGTCATTTTATTTTCTGAAAATGTTGTGTATGGACAGTCATATTTACAAAAGTTGGCATGCTTATACCCCTCCCCCATTCAAAATTCTTTTTAAAATATATATGTGGTGGGGAGGGGGTGATGAATTGTAGCAAGCTTTTTGATTTATGATTAGTAAATAGTTTTTACTTAATAACAATATTATTTAACTGGTACAAATTGATAGAAAAAATTAAAATCTTTAAAAGTTTATAAATTTTTCTAATTAAATAATGTCTTAGGTTTATTGCATTTTTACTTTGCTTCACAGCAGATTTTTGGTAACAGGGTCCTGTTTTACAAAAAAAATTGATTTAAATTTTCCAAGAAGTTCCGTATATAACTAATATAAACATTAAGCGGTACAAGAATTAATTTCTTGAAATTTTATAAAATTAAATAAAGTGGACTAACAGATGTGAAAAAAAAAAAAAAAATTAAGATTTACTAAAAAGATCACCTTTCTAAATTAATTAATTTGTGAATAAGTCCTGAATGTTTCATTAAAATCTTACAATTATTTGATTTTTGCAAGAATTTCCAAATCAGTGTTTTTCACTGCAAAAAAAATGCTAAAATTTCCTTTACTAATCTTGCACCCCCCCAACCTCTGAGATAAGTAAAACAAGATTTTTAAACAAAATTTCAAATGTTCAAAGAAAGTAATTTAATCAAAAAAAATCCTTTGCTCTTTCCTTTAATAATAACAAAGATTTTGATGATAAATACTTTTTTTTTTTTTTTTTTTTTTTTTAAGTAATCTGTGGAGGTACCTAAATTCAAATATTTAAATTTATCTTTAAATGTGAAAAACAGTAGGATCTTATTGTAAAAAGTAATCTTGCTTTAATAAAAAAGTTAAGGAAATGATATGTATAACTTTTTTTTTTTTTTTTCTGGAAAATTTTGGTTAAACAACTTATATGCACCATTAACAAACAACATATATGTGTTATAAACTAAATTGAAAATACGAGAGAATTTAAAAATGATAAAAAAAAATATACAAGATGCAAGGCAGTTAATTCAAATTGTAAATTGAAATTTCTTTTGATAAAAATTCTAAAAACATTTGTGGAATGCATTAATATTCTTTCTATAGAAAATATATAGAGCATGATTCTTAAAATATAAGTTACTCTGAGTATGAAAATTAATGCTTTTGTGTAAAATTATTCAAGGTGATTTAACTGAAATGTTCATTAACTTGTCATTTTTATAAAAATTAAAATAAAATTTAATTTGTTTTTGGATTTATTCATTTTTAAAACTAATATTTTAGCTTTATATTTGTTAAACAATTTAATGGTGTTTTTATTATTCTACTAACAACTATAAATGTTAAAGTTAATAAAAAAATGATTTTGGTTTAGCTAAAGTTGTTTATTGGGACAGTTCTGGGACACTGGTGAAAAAAAGCCTAGTCTGGAAGACTATTATAGAAATCAATTTGCTTATTTCAAAATAGAAAAACGTGCAAAAAGAGTATGTCAACTTACCCAATTTTTACAATCACTTGACAATTTTTATTTGATCAAGATTAGAAAAGATGAGAAAACTATCAACCAATATCTTTAAAGTATTTGGAGAGAATTTTTTATTTTTTATTTTAGAAATTAGTTAATACATTTAAACAAATTCTTGTCAATGCTGAAATGACTAAGTAAAAATTAAAAAGTATGAAAATGCTAATTTATATTGATAGTCAGCACAGAGAATTGTTAATCTATTTTTGACTGACTTTGTATGACAAATATGAAAACTTAATTGATATCATTACTGTTTCTCTAGAAGTTTCACTTCTTTACTAGTAGTCCAGGCACACTTTCTACTTGTATTTCATCAGTTGTTAATGTCCTGGCTACATTTCATTGTCTAGAGATTTGTCTTCACCTCAAGTAACCATAGTTACTTTTCTAATGACTGGCAGGAATCCAGCAGAACATTTTGCTCAATTTGATTTTCTTATTCTGGCTGCTTAACTAGATTTATTTATTTTATTTTATGTGGTTTTGTTGATTATTTGGTGCTTGCTGAATTCGGAATATCTTGTTCAGTTCCTACTGTTTTATTTCAAAACGATGGATATTTAAAGGTTTGTCATGAATCTGTTTTGTATTGTTTTAATTATTTTAACTTCATAGATTTTTGCAATAACAATTGTTTTATTTTATTTATTTATTTTTTAAAATACTGATAAGTTCTTTGAAACCAGCAACAGATTTTTAATTTTTACCTGTCCCCCTTCCTGCACTTGTGTACTAAATACAAATGCTGGCATTATTTAAATTATTCTCCTTCAATTTTTTTTCCCCAGGCACAGTGTTTATAATTTTCTCAGTAGCACAATTATTTTGTTACAATTTATTAAACTTGTACACTTAGTATTATTTACCAAAGAGTATACTTAAAAAAAAAAAAACTATTTCTTTTGCTTTGAAAAAGAGAATAAAAAAATTAAAATCTTTGTGAAAAATTACTGCTAGCTTTGTTTAGTCCAGGCATATGGTGGATAGAACATTGAAAATCTTAGTCAGAAAAATATCATTATTTTTAAAATGTTCCTGTTTGTTGGTAATTGAAAATATATATATATATATATTTTTTTATTATTTAATTTATGGTACCATTTTCAAATATATACTGCACTCAGCATTTTGAATAGATTCAGATTTTACAAAACAAAAATATACTTTAAAATATCACTAATACTATTTTCTATAGAAATGGAAAAGGTTTAATTGTGCTCTAAGATTAAGCATTAAAAAAAAAAAAATACTTTTTTTTTTTTTTTTCCTGCTATTGAAATGTAATGAATTTGAAAAAAGAAAGTATATTTTGTAATCAATTCATATTTGGGGATTGTGTGCATTTTTTTCTTAATAATTTGATTGCAAAGTAAAGTTCTAAAATATTAATTATTAACAAAAAACTTAAATTCTATTTGTCAACATTCACTTACCATATACTCAAGTATAGGGTGAGATATTACGATTACTTTTACATAAAAAGTAAGTGGGGGGGGATTATACACGGAGGTTAAAAATCACGTATTTCTGGTGACTGGTCTCACTATACATGGGTAAATTTTTTTCCTGGAAGTGTTAACATTAATGTCAAAAAATGAAGTCTGCTTATACACAAGTATATACAGCATTTCACTCACATATACATTTATAATTATTTTCATTTTTTTTTTTTTTTTTTAAATTTTACACTTTTTTCATGCTTTTTAAATATTAAATTTAATTTTTTGCAGATATGTGAATATATATAAATTTCACTGAAAGAAAGAAAGGAATTTCAATTGGTCTGTAATCAAGTGTGGTCAGTTCTGGCTGTGGCCAGAGGAAGAAAATTCCTCACCATCCACAATGGCCACAACATTATTTTGCTGGGGGAATGGTCATCATGGACAGTTAGGCTTTGGTACAGATGATCTAGATGTCGTCAGTGTTCCAAGGCTCTTACCCCCACCATTTGAAGACAAAGCTGAACAAATTCAGCACATTGCATGTGGCCAGCAACATACCCTCATTGCCCTCAAAAATGGACGCACCTATTCCTGTGGTAGTAATGATTACAGACAACTTGGACACGATAAATCGGGAAACAGATTAGGTAAGATCCTTCTGCAATTTTTTCCATTTCATTTTTCACTTGTTTTAAAGTAACTGTAAGGTATCTATACCAGACTTCATTCTCAATTTATTTATCTTAAATATAGAGGCAATGTCATTTTAAGAATGCTAACTTTGAAAAATAAGTGACAGTTTATACTAACACTTATTTTCCTCTCCTTTTAGAAGGAATTTATGTTAAACCTTATTTTATAAAAAAAATTATGATTTATTTTTTATTTATTTCTTGAAAATACTTGTAAATAATATGTATTCTGAAAATTTGTGTTTTCTGTAGCTAACATATTGGTTCCTTTTAAGTGTAATCTGTTAAGATATAGAATCAGGTAATTAGTTTATTATAAAGTTTTGCTTGGTTTAATATGATTTTTCTGTTGTTTATAAAACTTTACTAAATAGGGTTTGTGAAATTCAATGTGAATTTTTTAACATTAAAGTTTATCACTAATGAGATATTTTCAAAGTTGATGGTACCTTTTTATTTTAGATAGTTTACTGGATAATCTAAAAGCATATTGACAGCTTCTCTACAAAAAATTATTTATATTTTATGAAATAGCTTTTGTTCTTTATGATTAAAGTTATGTTAATGAATTATTTCAGAATTAAAAACTACTTGGTTGTAGTTTAAATGAATAATTGTTCCCTTATATAGTTAAAAAATGAAATTAGTCCTCTAATTTTTAGGTAATTAGATAAACTCTCAGCATATTCCAATAAGATATTTTAGATGTAAAAAAAAAAAAAAAATAGTTACAGCCAAGAAAAATTGCATTGTATTTGGGTGTTAAAAAAAAAACTTGTGCAGCTCCAATGATATATAAATACTTTTGCAAATATAGATTTACTTTAAGATGAAAAGTGTTGTTATGTCTGTTTTAAGGTTGCGTCATCTTATGTAAATAGTACATTTCCAAAGTTTTCCTTAAATATTTTTCCAACAGCAATCAATGACTTATAAAGAACTTTACAATCGGCTTTGAGCAGGGAGATTTATTTTTTTGTCAAGCAATTCATTTTGACATTTTTTACTCTGTCTTGAGTTTACACTGAAAGTAAAATGTTTTTTTATTTTTACTTGAATGTGAACACTTCAGAATATGTTTTAGTCATGTTTTTTTAAAATTCAACATACCTTGTTGATTTTTTTTTTTCTAACTCAAGGTAAAACAAAAAAGTTGATAAAATTGAACTTGAGAACTAGATAATTTTCAGCCAACATTGAAAATATTTTAAAGTATTGCTTTGTGTGAAAATAAATTATTAATTCAATTACTACTAGCCGATCCTGTGACCTATTGGGTCACACATTAAGTGAAAATGTTAACAAAAAGATTATCATTGGATTTGTACCTTCAGATAAGCCCCCCTCTTTGTATTATGTACCAAAAACTTTTTTTTTTTTTTTCTTTTTTATCCAGATTTATTCTTGCATGCAAATAAGGGATAGTGCTCTATAATTAGCATTTAATAATTATCTTCCTTGAAATATACCCTCCACCCTTTACTAGAGTTGATCTTGATTGCAGATACTGCAATATTATACTGTTGTAAATTACCTGGAATTTTTTTTTTTTTTTTTTGCATTCTTTTTTAGTACATTTTAGGAATGCCGAAATTAAATACCTCTGGCTACAGTGTACTGTTTTGGCAACTTCTAGAGATTATATACATAGATACAAAATTAGACGTTTTGTATTATATAGACCCTTTGGTGATTTCATTAATTCTGAATCTTTATTTTGTTTTAAATTGTCAATGATATTGTTAATGGGTGTAGGTTTGCATGTTTCTATAGTTGTTTGAGTTAAAATTTGAAAAACACTAAGATGTATGTTGAAGCAAAATACCCAATGTTATTGGTATATAGTTTCTTTTCAGTATTTGGCTACATAGGGCAAATAAAAATTGTTTGCTGATTATTTTATGGATTTTAAGGTGGAAAATTGCATAGAGGAACGAAAAAATCTTGCCAAGAATCATTCTAGTTTCTTACCTACAAAGGAGGTGGACACACTTTGGACATCATCATAGTTTGGAAGGTTTTGTAATTTATCTACTTCTGTCTTGTCTTTTGTTTGCTCGTTTTTAAAATTTTATTACTGTTCTTGTATGTGTTTTGAGCATGTTGGCAATCCTGGCTCTCCACAATTTTTTTTATCCTTTGTAGCTCTTAAGAAATTTTGTCTTTTTGTTATCTCTCCTGAACTCTGTTCTCCCATCCATTTACACAATCTTGTGAGGTAGGTTATGCATTGTTTTCCTCTGTTCCTCTTGCCTTCAATTTTTCCTGTGAGTATCAAATTTTTCAAGCCCTCTTTCCTCGTGTGCCTTAAAAATTTCAGCTATCTTTTTGATGTTAAGTATCAGATCATTGCAAAATTTTGTGCTCAATTTTCATTGTTAATATAAAATGACTGCAACTTGACTCTAGTGTTTGTTTTGGTGTCTATTTCTGGTGTGTTCTAGATTGAAGCCTTGCATTGTTAAGTTATGAGTCCAACTTTGTTAAATGTTGATGTTTTTGTTCACAAATGAGTGCCTTTAAAATAAAAAGTTGCACTTCTGCTTAGTTGTTATATGAACTTCAGAAAGCAGTATGTGTTGGAACTGTGACAAAAACATTCAGAAGGTTTATTTGGATCATGCTCCAGCACTTCAGGTGGTCAGAAAGTGGTTTGGACATTATTTTTTTTTTTTTTTTGTCAGTAATTTTTAACCTAAATGATCAACCATTCTCTGGGTGACTTTCCAATGTTGAAGACACTCTGCTTGCCTTCATAGAGAATAAATCACTGCCATATAAGAGGACTGATATTATGTAACAGTTCCATACTCTTTTCTTTGTTACTTGATTCCAAATTTTCAAAGTAAATTTAACAGAGAAGAAAAAAAATGCAAGAGACGTTTATTCTGAATTGAAACCAGTTTTCCTTCTTTTTTGGATGCATATTAACAAGAAAAACTGATCAATTAACAATGCAAGAAGCTTTAAAACTTGGCTAATATAGTATTTTGTAACTGAAAAACTTACTCTATCCAATCATGTACTTTCTTTACCGTTTTTTTTTTTTTTTTTTTTTTTTTTTTAGTTTCCAGAGAAGTAAATATCCTATTGTAATTTTGTTCCTCTGTTAGTTAACATGTGTGTTATGCCTCAGATAAATAATGAACCATTTCATTTTATGCTGTTTAATTTTATGGAAGAGAAAAGAAATGGAACGTGAAAAGAAAAGCTAGGAAAGAAACCCTGCATCTGCTTCAGTGAAATGGGAAAACCTTGTTAACTTTTAATCTTTTCATTTGAATCCCTTACTTCTGTAAATAATGATATGCATTCATACTTATGATTTTTGTTCCTTTGTTAAAAATGGGTTATTATTGAGAAGGTTCAACCTCTATTGCCACAGCACCATTATCTATCTCTGGTCAATGTAATAAAATTGGAAGCATTACTTTCAAAGTGTAGTCCTGGATATGATGATAAATTACATCCGACTGGTAGGCCTCTGATCAGAAGATTTGGAGGTTTTGACGAGTATGTAACCATCTCTTAATTGCTGCTGTTCTTAGGTCTACCCTGACCCAGGTGGTAGCACCTGTTAGGGTCCCAGCTATGGGCAAATAGTTACCCCCTCTCACCAAAAAGAACAAAATACTATGAAAGTATAAAAATACAAGCAATACATTTTTATATATATAAAAACAAAATGACCCTCAATATCTGTAGTTGAAGGCATACAATTGTGTTAATATTTAGATTCCAGTATTAAATGACCCATAAAAATTGTTAAACAATCAAACAACGAAAACTTTCAAAGTGGCATTTGTAGTACGACGACAGATGCAATGTCAGTCATTGTGATTTGGGAACTTGCTTTATGACATGAACTATATTCATTTAAATTATTCAAGCATTTAAAAATATAAACTGTGTAGATGTTTATTTATGAAATAGATAAACATAGATAGAATCAAAAATATATATTTTTTTCTTTTGTTAGTCATCACCAAAAGTTATCATTCATAATTTTAAATTGCAGAAGCTTTAAAGAAAATCTGTTTTTCCTCCTTACAGACTAGAAATTCTATTTGTAGAATTAGTTTGGTAAAATTTTAACACCAATTTAATGTGTTCTGGGTATGACGAAGAACTACATCTGCGTCCTGGGTAAGATGATAAACTACGTCCAACATCAAGGCCTCTGATAATACATTTTTGAAAAAATAATGTTACCAGCTGTATGTTTTTAGAAAAATATTATTACTAGCTATATGTTTTTGAAAAAATAATATTACCAACTATACATTTTTGAGGAAAAAATTTGACAGAAATAGATTTTTGATAAAACAAAAATATTACCAGGAAAAAAAAAAGTTGTCGGCATTAAATGACCCATTGAGGTTGATGTGCCGTAAAACAAAAACCAAACCAAAACCAATTTAATCCTGGAGAATCAAATCAAGCCGTTCTTTTGAACAATCAGTCTTGTATATTTTTTAGTTAGATTCTGTATCAATCAAGTTATCAGATTTTTTTTCATCTTTGCCTATAGAAGAGGCTAATGATAATGTCAAAAGTTTGAAATAAGAATTAGTATTTCTGGTTTTTTCCCAGTCAGAACAAAATTTTTCTTCCTGACGGGAATTGATGTTTATTTGATGGTAAGTAATGAAAAAAAAAAAAAAAAGTTTTAAATAGAATTAAGACTATAGAAATAGAAAAAAAAATTTTTTCCAGATGTGTAAGGTCAAATTTTGCACATTTTCTATAAAAGAATTAATATTTTGTCTAAATAGGCATTTTTGGTAATTTGACCAAATATCTATGTGTGTGGTGTAGGGTTAAATATCAATATTTTGAAAATATACTATTTTTTTGTCATTAGATTTTAATTCAGTTTTTTTTGTCATTAGATTTTAATTCAGTTTTTTTTGTCATTAGATTTTAATTCAGTTTTTTTTTTTGTCATATCTGAA